GGGTAGGAGGGATTGGGTAAATATGGGTTGTTGTGGAAGTGGGCATGGGCTAGGGGGTTGGGCTGGTTGGGCCGTGGCCCAAGGACGCCAGGTGAGGGGGAGGGAAAAATCCAGGGATTCATGCCAGATGGTTGCCGCTAATATCCGCCACCGCCACGACCTCGACCGCGGCCCCTACTGCGGCTGCCACCGCCACTGCCGCCGCGTGAGGACCTGCTGCGACCGCCATAGTCGCCGCCAGATCCGCCGCCAAAGCTGCCGCTGCTCCCAGATCTGCCGCCGTAGCCGCTGCCCCGATCCTGCCGATGTGCGCTGCCCCCATGTCCGCCGCCACCTCCGGTGCTAAGGAGGGCTGTTGACGGCGTGTCGGCACCATAGAGGGTGTCGTTCTGTTGCTGTTCAACGAGGAGCAAGGCGGACCGAACTTCCTAGAACGTGGGGAGCGGATTCTGATATTGCAAAAATTGGACCTGACTGCGGATGTCGTGGGGGAGGCCTTGAAGGTCTTGGAGTACAAGTGCATGTTCGGTGACCGGTGCATCCACATCATCAAGATATTCGGAGAGGTTCTTGAGAAGGCGACAGTATTCGTTGATGGAGAGATGACCTTTCACGGTTGTGCGGAAGCGATGTTCTAGTTGCATCGCCCGTGCATGCTTATTGTTGTGAAAGAGATTGTAGATTGCCTTCCATAGGGCATGAGCGGAGAGATTGTTGGCAAGCACAAGATCGAAGACCTCATCCGTGATTGTGGTCAGAATCCAACCCTGGATTAGGGCATCAAATTGATACCATTCAGCATTGTCTGCAGAGGAGGCAATGGTTGTGCCATCGATGAAACCCTTGAGATTGAAGCAGAGGATCAAGAGGCGAAAAAATCGACTCCACTTTTTGTAATTTGGTTCTGAGAGACTGAGTTGTACATGGATGTGGAGTTTGATGTTGGATATTGTGGTGAAGGCTAGGTGGGGTGAATTATTTGGAGAGGAGGTTTCGTTGTTGGAGGTGACCTTGCCGAAGGATGCAGAGTCGGCCATGGTTGCCGGAGGAGAAGAGAAGACAGCAGTGGAGAGGGAGGGAGGGCTGGCCGAAACTCAAGAAGAAGAGGAGGAGAGGGAAGCCGTGAAAAATTAGTGCTCTGGTACCATGAAGAATGCATCTTTCCAATGAATAATTATGGGAGATTACATGTGTATATATACAAAGGTTTTCTAATGATAATAGGAAACAATAATTAATACACCCTATACAAATATGGTAGCTATCAATATACATAAATATTAAATATAGTAAGAATATATTTAACAGATATGTTCTACTCCGTATTTTGTAAAAGGTCCACATATTTTATGTTACAAATAAAATTTATGAAATGAGCTCGGATCTTGGGTCCATGGAAGAATTTGCCTAAGGGGTAAGTAGGTGAATATAACAATAATTTGTTTTTGTTTTTAAATTGTTGAGTGGACAAATACAATAAAACAATGAAATACCGCATAGATACGGAGAGTGTATATGCATAAATAAAATACTACTCCGCAAATGAACTGCCATTCAATGGCGTCACCCGTCATTCACTTTGAAGCAAGCAAGCCGCCATTCTCCTTAACCCGGTTGATGGGTCATGCTACACTTACACCACATATTGTACCCCATTTGTACACCGCAGGCATACACAAATATTTTGATGGTTTGCACCGACACAAGTGTTGGTGCGTTAACAAAAATTTACACGGACACAAAGTGTTTGTGCATTAACAAAAATTGGTTTTACACCAACACAAAGTGTTGGTGCAAACCTGCAGGGTACAAAGTGGGGTACAAAAACATGGGGTATACAAGTAGCTTTATCCCCCGGTTGATACTTGCTTCATACAGAGTATACTATTTGATAGTGCTCAATTTATTAGGCACATGGCAAATAAATTCCACTAACTCTTTTTTTTTAAAGTCTAACATGGGCACACCATTTTTGAATATATTGTTTGGGTGGAATCAAACTTATTATTACTTACACTAGTACCCCCAAAAATAAAAATAAAAATCACTTTGGTACAAAACTAATATTATCATTTCAAGATTCTCTCTGTACACTAGACATTGCTTGGGAGAAGTTGGTGCGGCGTCAATCAAAAATTTTCTTTGTGGAAATCGAATTTGGTGCTTGTTTTCCGAGAAAAGTCCAAGGCAAGTTGTCTTAGCTCTTTTGTCAGTGCTGGTGCCCCACAATAGAAAACCCCTGCAATCCAAAATAAATAAACTTAGTACCAAGATTCCCTCGTTTGGCTTTTTAGTATTCATATTCCTTGGTCGTACGATTAAATGACATCATGATAAACTTTAAAAGTGTCCACCAAACTAGACCAAAAGCTTGAATTTGTGGTTGTAGGTCCAGAAAATGTTATACACTCTAAAATGCCCCCTCACGTGCTGGCGATATTTGTTTTTAAAACTGAGTTGCGGTGAGGTTGGAACTCGTGACTTCTTGGTCAACAAGACTCCGATACCATGTCAAGAAACCAACTCAACCAAAAACTCAAACTTGTGGTTGTAAGTGTAGGAAAAGTTGTGCACAAAAAGAAAAAGGGGGAGAGGCACTCACCAACTTTCCCATTGGTGTGGTTGAGAGCAATGCGTTTGTACACGTTGCGCCAGTTAGGCTTGGCGAAGTGAGACTTGACGGCGGTTCCAGAGACGATGTCGACACCGTTCTTGGCGTGGTGGAGGGATTGGAGCATGGTGATGAGAGCAGAACGGGCATCCCCTTCCTCGTAAACGCTGGTGCAGTAATTGTGCATCTCTATGACGCCCTTATGGTCCATTTCCGCGACTTCATTCATGATCCCCTTGAACCAGTCAAATGACCCTTGCTCCCTGGTCACCCAATAGAAGTAGGCCTTTCTTGTCTTGAAGTTTCTGCCCCCTCCGCTGCCCGCTCCTTGCCCACTCTCCAACCCTCTCTCTTCATCCTCCACCACCTTCATGTTGTTCACAATGTCCTTCACAATGCTGATCATTGGGGTTGCTCCTATCCCTAGTCCTACTAGCAGAACCACGTCGTACTTCTTGTAGTCTTGTGCTGGTGCTCCATACGGCCCATCAATCTTCACCTCTGGGAAGCTGCAATGTTTGAGTAGTTGCTAGCAACATCAATCATCTTTGATTTTCATGGAGAAGAGCATAAGACTAGCGGATGGGTATGGTTTCAAGAATGGGGAAACGACACTTACTTTGGATTGTTTTCCCCTTGTAGGCAATCCGCTCGCAGGAGTCCACTTTTCCCATTGGGAGGTGGCTGGCAAACCTATAAGAACCAACACGGTACAATGATCAAGGGCATATCCTTAAGACAACCTTGCTGGTATTGCTTATGATTGTGATTATATACATCACTTATTTAAGCACGATAACTAAAGGATACACAAAAGGGTCCGATATTCACCTCTGAGAAAACAGTTTTGAGCTGTCTGGTCCAATCCCCAAGGGTTCTAATGTGGACACTAACATAGTCATCTCCAGGGGCAGATGTAATTGAAAAGGGGTGCCTGTTATGGATAACCAAAAACTTTAAGAAAATTCAAAGAAATAATGGGATAAACTGATCTACGGGACATACAAGAAATAGAAGTAATGTGTACAAATTGATGTTTTCCAGTGGCAGCCCTTACCATTCAAAGGGAGAAACTGCAGAGCAGTTGACAAACATGTATTGACCGCTTTTGTATCTGAAGCCCTGAGGCTTTGACATATGAAGCGCTAAAACGTTTCCAGGATAGACAGCCACCTTTACATGTTGCAAATCAGTCAAACATGGGAAATAATTAATATCCTTCTTGAATTGACTACTTCTTCCATTGCCCAAAAAAGATATGACAAATTGACAACAATTGGGCTTTATGTTAAAGGTGATGAATTTCCACAAAGTAAAATGTGATCTATCTTTGTCGACGTAAGTAGAACAAATTAGTAAATGGCTGTAATGCGATTACCTTAAGAATCTGGACAGGCTTAATGCTAGACCTGAATACCCTAAGCAATCTTTCGCAAGCATAAATAACCACGGGGATAGCCAAGTACATCCAAGTCTGCAATTTACCAATTCACTAAATCTTCAACAACAAAAATCCCACAAAAGTTAACACTTAGAAGTCCCAAAAAAGAATGTATTGGTTACTAACCGTTTTCTTGTACCACGTATGGGTCAAATAGAGCTTGACGCCATGGACAATGAGGAGAGCATAGACAATAACAAAGAGGTGGTGGGAATACCAGAAGGCATTGAAACCAGTAATCTTGTTAAAAGGTTTGGGCAAGGTCACCCTATTCCTTCTAAACCATGGAGTAGCCAAGGTGAAAGCTATGGCCATTAATACCACTATTATAATCCCTGTCACGCCTTCCACTCCTTTCACGAAAAACCAGTAGTTTTGTGGCTGATCCCCAAAGAACGGCTCCATTGGAGCGTACTTCTCAGCGCTCGCATGCAGAAGCCTAGGGAAGTCGCACGTCAAGTGAGCTATTGCGTGTATTCCCACCCCAATTGCCACAGCCACCGCTATCACCTAAAGAAATGTTAAATATTGTCACTACAAGGCAACATTACAAGTGTACAATCAAAAGTAGACAATACACGCCCGAAACTCACTAGAACACACATTTGGGGCTGACCCCAACATTTGACAACTTTGTCTCTCATACTATATTAAGACACAGGTTCCATTGTAAAAGCTCACTCAAGAAGTTATATGTAAGTTCTAATGTACAATGACTCAAGAATAGGTATTCGGGACCGGAGGATAGGACTTACTTTGTGAAAGTTGAGGTTGTCATCGAAAGGTACCGCAAAACCTAACTTGGTCTTGTTTCTGAGCCATGTTATGGTGTTTCTGCAGACGGGTAAAAGAATTATAGCCATGTTGAGCTTCAGCGTCTCGGCAGCACCTTTAGCCATACAAACACAGGCACCCATAACATGATAAGCTGCTTTGTTTCTATACTGAATGTATTTCCAAGCAAACAGCCCAGCCATGGCTCCCATCCACAACAGGAGCACCCAAATTCTCTGCCAATTGTCTAATATGAAGTACTTGAAGTGTTTGTACCATCTGATCAGAGGGTTCGGCTCCACTGTAGGCTTCAGCTTCTGGCTCAGCATTTGGCTCAAGTTCCTGCTCTCGTACCCCCTCACCGATTGGTTTGGAGCTTGCAGTAACAGCATCTCCAAGTTCTCAATCTGTCACACACATAAACGGTCAAGTATTGATGCTAACTAATTACTACTTAGTTCAAGATCAAGTTTTGGGTATGTAGAAATATAATGATATTAACTACTTTTGGTTAGTAAATACCTTGATGTATCCTTGGTTGCTGGGATCTAGTTCCTCCATAATCATGGCTGCATATTCATCAGCTTGTTTCTGGATAGTTGACAGCTTGTTTGCAGAAGCACTTAAGCTTATGATCTGCACAGTGAATGATGGCCAATTCCGTTTATGCAAAACCAAAACTTTAATTCAAAAATAAATCCAAAAAAAAAAGTGAATAAATGAAATACCTCTCTGACTTCTTCTTCTGTGATTGCCCCATCTGCATCTTTGTCAACCCTGCATTTCCATGCACATTAGCTAAGAGCATTAATTACTGAGTATCTAAAATGATTCCACACTCCAACTTTTTTCATTATACGGAGTAAGTAAAAACTTTTTTTATAAAAAAAATCTAATTAAGGTGTATGATGTTCTCACATATCAAAGAAGGTTTGGAGGCGAGTGTCGAAACTCTGATCGGAGATTTGGTCCCAGAATTCTTGAAGCTGTTGTTTGTTGATGGAGTCAGAGGTTATGTTCCTTCTCCTAGCTAAAGCATCGAACAGCTCGCCTGCGAATTCCTTTGAGTCCTTGTTCATACCTAATCATAATAATTTCCAAAAACCCTTTGTTTTGTCAGCCCAATTATCACTCATCAGATCAAGAAATTAGAAACAATTCATGAAAAAAACGAAGAATACTAACCTATGCATTCACCAAACTTTGCCCGGGGGAGCAATCCAGTGGTGGAGGCCGTGAGCTGGTCGAACCTCTTTTCGACGGCGGCCCAACCGGAGCCGCCATCGGTCTTGCTGATGAACTTGAGCCCCTTCAGAGCCTGAGCTGCGGCGGACTTATTCCGGTCGATCTTACCTGCGCCGGGATGGGTCCGCATAGTAATGGAAGCCAGGCGCTTGAGCTCCTGAGACACCTGCCGGATTCGCGACGAAGCATTTCTCACCACGGTGGATCCCAGGGTGGTCCTCTTCTCCAGTCCTCTCGCCAGCAGGGCAAGCTCCGGGTCCTCCACGTCAGCACCATCGGCCGTCTTCACGCTGTGCACCGCCACGGAGTCCTCCCGGACGTCGAGTGTGATCTCGACGTAGGCGTCGTCGCTAGAGGGCTTCGCCGCCGACGGGCTCCCCAACTCCGCCGAGCTAGATTCTCCGAACCGGGCGCTCTTCTTCCCGCCCCTTTTGCTCAGAGGCCCGCTGACGCTCAGAGGTCCGCTGTACGCCGCCGTCCTGTCAACTCCAATCACCTCCGTGTCAGAGTGGTGGTGCTGGTGGTCGGAGCTTGACATTTTCCAATTTTTCTTTCAAAAAAAGAAGAAGAGAGAAGAATTTGAAGGAATCAACAAATAATTACACAGTGGTGAGAGCTTCGAAATGGATCTTTCTTCGCTCAACTTAGTTCTATATAGAGGAGAAGACTTTTTACAGTGGGTGGGTATATAAGGAAATGGAGACGCAAATGGCGGAAGAAGCTGTAGAAAAAAAGCCGCTGTATTTGAAGATTATTAACTGGCGGTTTGACCCAAAATGGAAGAATGCTGATTGACTCTCCGACCCCAATTGAGTGCGTTTACGCGCATCTGACCTCTTTTTTCTCCTTCGTTTTCTATAACAAATAAAGAATTTTTTTCACTAATTTAGTAAAATAGTCCAATAAAAACTTTGAAAATTTTACTTTATCACTTCATCTAGGGTTGTTTAGACCCAAATTGAAAAAAACTAACGGATCTAGAGGTTTTGGGTCAGTCTCCGATTTAGATTTTTTAGAAATTTGGATTTTGATCCGGTACGATCTAAATGTGATTGTCATTCGGTCTTGACCGGAAAGAATGACAATATCCATTTACTCCGTATTTCTTATTTCGACTTACTGACCTCCCTTTAGATCTAATTTTTTCAAGACAATCCTAGTCTCTCCATATCTTATCTTTTCTTTTTCCAAAGCACACAATCGACACAGTTGCAACCTCTCCGATCTTCCAATCCATCATCTTCAACATACAATCGCACGGGCGCACCACGCCACCGCGGAAGTCGGCAGTAGGGTCTCGACATGGTGCCGGTTTTGAACCGGTACCAGAACGGGAACCAGTGTGATAGAAACTTGGGTCTAGGGTCTTTAGACCAAGACCCCATTATTGTAGAAGAAGAAGAAAAGTGTGTGGAGATAGTGAAGAAGATGATGAATAATAATATTGTAATAATATTGAGTGATAGTCGTGAATGTGTTCTGAATTGTGTATCTCCCCCCTCCTCCTAGAAAGTGGAGTATAAATAAGGGTGTAACAGGGTTAGGGTTGAGACCCAACCCATATATAATAACTAATGGACTGACCCAACAGACTGGGCCACCCAAATAACTAATCAGTGAAGGACTAACGAGTCGGTCTAACTGACTAGACCGTCCTAACTAACACTATACAAAGGCCGGATATCCCTATGTCTAGGGTATCCATGATGAGTCCCCCACTTCTCGAGTCGAGAGGAACTCGCGGCAAAGTGGAAGTAGAACAACAATCCACCATGGAAGGGCACACGATTGACTCACCGTACATTAGACCTGGCAAAACGGTCGGTCAGGTTGGGTTCGGGTTCGGTATAATTGGGTTCGGGTTATTTCGAGTTCGGGTCACTTTGGGTTCGGGTCTAGGAATGCTTGTTCATGACCCAGAGTTATCGGGTTCGGGTTGACCCAACGGGTTAAGAGGTGTATTTAAAAATTAAATTTTTTGCTATTTAGAGATCATGTGATCCGAGCATTACTCAAAACAAAGAACAAAATCAGAAAAGTTTGTAGTTCTATTTGCAACATACCAAAAGAGAATTGCAATATACCCAAAAAAAATCACCTTTTTGCAGCATACCAAAAAATTTGCAATAGATGAAAAAAATTGAAGATTCTTTCAACATACCCAAAAATATATATACATTATAAAAATTGAGATTCTTGCCCCATACCAAAACAAAAGAAAAGAATTAAAACTTGAATTACACGTAGGAGCAATTGAAGACGATGAAATATGATTAAAAATTGCACTATTAATCTTGTGTCTTCTCACCATTTTGATTGAGTCGGCATCTAATATCGACGAACGGTGGAAGAGTGGAAGAACAATATGCAGTCGTCTGGTCTCTGAACTCAGATAGTGCAGCAGGACCAGATGGCTACAATGGGCATTTCTACAAACATTGCTGGAAGTGGATTAGAGAGGATGTCACCAAGGCCACACAGGAATTTTTTCTGGGGATCAAAATGCCTAAGGAGATGGCCCTATCTTCAATAATACTCATACCTAAAAAGGAAAGCCCCTCCCATTGTGAAGATTTTAGACCCATCTGTCTTTCCAATTTTGCAGCTAAAATTATCCCCAAAATCATTGCAATAAGACTGGGGATCATTTTACCTAAGCTTATCTCTATGGAACAGAGGGGTTTTGTCAAAGGAAGATCCATCAATGAACAAGTGCTTATTGCCCATGAAATGATCCATGGCATTAATCATAACACAAGAGGAGGTAACCTAATCCTAAAGCTAGATATGTCCAAAGCTTTTGATAGAGTCTCATAGAATTATCTTCTGGCAGTAATGGATAGATTTGGCTTTGATAAAAACTTCCAGCGGCTAATTCACAACACCCTTCAAGCCACTTTACTGTCCATCTCCCTCAATGGGCATTCTACTAAATCTTTCAAAACTGGAAGGGGTCTCAAACAGGGAGACCCCCTATCCCCTCTGCTATTCATCCCATCATCTGAAGGTTTCAGTAGAACTCTCAATTCACACATGAACTTTGGAAAACTTGAACCTTACAGAATGGGAAGGAACCACATGCACATCCATCACCTTGCCTATGCAGATGACCTCATTATCTTTCTAAATGGAGGAAAGCAAAACCTGAACAGATTCATCAATTTCCTAAAAGGTTATGAGGAAACCTCTGGACAGATGGTTAACCTTCAGAAAGTGCAATTTCTACAACCCATGTAAGTCCCCCCTAAAGATCTCCCTAATGCAACAAAACACCCTCAAAATGCATAGAGGAAACCTGCCTTTCAAATACCTAGGGTTCCAGATTTATAGGGGGATCAACAGGAAGCATTATTGTACCTCCCTCCTTCAACACTTTGATAATAAGCTTAGTGGCTGGGATAAAAACCTACTCAACCAGAGCGGAAGAGTGGTTCTTATCAAACATGTACTTAGCTCCATTCGCATACACACCTTGGGTTCCACACAACTCCCTAAGAGCATCATTAATACCCTACACATGAAGATGTCCAATTTCCTATGGTGGGGGAAGTCCCAATAATGATCACAAACATCACTGGATGGAATGGGAAAAGGTTTGCTACCCTACGGATGAAGGAGGCCTATGAAGTAGGAATCACATCTCTAACCACTCTACAAGAAGCTTTTGGACTCAAGATATGGTGGAGATACACACAAAATGAATCCCTGTGGGCTACATACATGAGACACAGATACCCCAGGGGTCTAAACACTCCTCCTAAAATCATAGATTCCCCCACTTGGAGAAGAATCTGTGCCATCAATGATAAGGCCCCACTCACATTGGAGATAACAAATGACAACAGAGTCAAATGGAAAACTGGGGAGATGGATTTCAGTATCAAACTTGCCACCAAAAACTTGAGACTCCATAACCCTCCTATACCAGCAATGTCCTACATATGGAACCCCTCTCAACTACCCAAGATCTCAACTTTCCTTTGGAAACTCTTCCACAGCCTTCTACCGTACCCCCAAAAACTAACAATGATGGGTTTTAACCTCCCATCAATCTGTTTCTTGTGCAGGTCTAATGAAGATTCAACTTGGCATTCACTTCACGAATGCAATTTCAGCAAGGAGATTTGGAATCATTTTGAGGAACTCTTTGGAATCAACAGAAGTGTTAACCACGGCATACGCAGCTTTCTACTAAATTGGTGGAACCAAATTAACAAAAAGTCAAAAGATTACCACCTCAAAGTTGTGTTACCTGGTTTCATTGCACACGCCATCTGGAAAGAAACAAATCTTCGCATCTACAATGAGGAAGCACAGACACCATCCCAAATCATTCACCAAGTTACTAAGCAGATATATGAATACAGTGCAATCAATGGGAAACGAGGTCAAAAATACCTGCAGCTCTCAATCCCAACCATCAAAATGGGTGCAATCCAAACATTCAAATGGAATTTCCCAAAGCAAGGACTATGCGTCACCACTGATATTGCAATCTCACAGGATCGAATGGCAGCAGCAGCAATCATCCGGCTAAAAACTGGAAAGTTCCTAGCGGCATGGACCAAGAATTGGGCGGGAGAAAACGACCCTGAGGCAGGAGAGATTAAGGCAGCAGCTCTAGGGGTCAAACGCGCTTACTTCCTAAATCAGCCAATCAACCTTTCATGGACTCAAAGAATGGGGTGAAGAAAATTCAAGAGGCACCCAACGCATACTACAAAAAATCAAAGATGCAATTCAAATTTCTGGAGGAAAAATAAACCACATATACCGGGAAGCAAACTCGGCGGCACACAATCTTGCAAAATTTTCTTTAAACAATAATTTTAGTGCTTTTTACTATCATTTCGAGCAACTCCCTAAAAAGGTCAAAGGAGCTCTTCTCTGTGTTGTAACCTCTACTTATTTCCGTATTAAATAAATGAATAAATTTTTCTATATATATATATATATATATATATATATATAGAGGTGAACTTAGGGAGGGAAGATGCAGGGTCAGTGTCAGGCGCGTTTGGTCCTCTTGGTTGTGGTGAACTTACAGTGGTCAGGTCGCTGTCTCCTGAAGCTGCCCCGTTTATCCCCATTTCCTATAACTCATTTGGGGTACTTGATTCCAATGATGACACAACCCTTGAAGAACCGGAGGAGACACATAAAATCATCAACATTGGGGACATGATTGAGATGTTTAACTGCACATCTTCTGATCGGGTGATGAAACTTAACGCACTTGAGGATGCAGCCCTGGAAAATGATGAACCAGCACTCTACACCCACTCGGAAGGAGAAACCACGGTGTTTATTGACTCCAAAGTTGAACCAATTAGAATAAACACCTCTAGATGCTCTAAGGTGTCGATGCTGCTTCCTAAATTAGCTAAGGGTAAGCCAACCTTTTCACCATCTCATATGGTTACTAGGAGTAGGGCTAAGATAATAGCTGCAGGAAGGAAAGAAAATCCCATTAAGGGAGTTGACACATCTGAAGATGAGGGAGAGTTTACTGTGAAGGGCATCCGCTCCGCATTCAAGAAGACATGCCCGACAATAGGGGGGAGGAAAAACCAGTCTAGTGCACCTTCTTTGGAATCTCAACCAAAACTTAGCAAGAAACAGAAAAGGAAGGCCAAACAGAAACTAAAACATGCACAAAATTTGGCGATGGCTAAGTTAGCATTCAGTGCAAACAATACAATGGATACGGATGATATTGAGGATGACTATGATTTCTCATATTATTTATAACTCTCATATTTGGAACGGGACACCATGGTTCTCCTAGCCTTCTACGCAGTTAGTTTGGAAGCTGTCAAGGTTATGCGGGTCTTTTCCCTCTTTAGCATCTCGTTTAGTATCAAGCAGTTTTGGCTTAGTAAACATTGTGGTTGCTGATTTGTAACCATTGGGTGCAATTTTAGGATCCTTTGTTTTGGAATAAGACTTTAGATTACTCTGTTTTGATCGGTTCCGTGGCCTCAGTTTCTGAACGTAGTTTCGGAGGCTTGTTTGAGCTTCATTCTGGCTCCTTAGCTTGACCTTTCGGTATTGGTACTTTGGAAGAGCACTTGACTTGGGATACTCAATCCTCTTCTTGCAAGCTCAAGCATTCAGAGCTTTGAGAGATGAGAACAAGTCGATAACACTGGTTTGGTGCTGCATTTTAAGTTTCTCAGGTCAATAAGAGTGGGTAGGGTTCTTTTACAGCACTGGTTTTTGCATTCAATGGACAGGAGGCATGTTTTTTTGCTGGCAGTTCAGGTGAGGATAATGGCCCCATTCATTAAACTTTTCTTCTATGAAATTTGGCTTAGAATTTTTTCAGCACTTCAGCCACAGGACTACAGATCTCAAAGCCAGCTTCTTGGTGGACGGACTCAGTATGTGACTTGGAGGCCTCCACCTTTATAGCAGTTTTTAAGTGGCCCATTTCAAAAGTACTATCTGTTGGATATTTGTGTTCATCCGTTTCCTTTATGGAACACTTCTATTGTACTATTTGTTGTATTTTGCATTTGGCTTTCTGTCTGGCTGCTTAGTAGGGGCTTGGCCACCCCATTTTACTTTTTATGAATAAATACTTTTGTTAAATAAATAAATAAATATATATATATATATATATATATATATAAAGAGAGAGATACATATATATGATATACATATATATATATATGTGTATATATATATATATATATATATATATGTATGTATATGTATATGTATATATATATATATAAAGAGAGAGATATACATATATATGATATACATATATGTGTATATCATATTTTAAATGAATATATAAAACTAAATAACTAATAAAAATAATCAATTAAGTGCATAACCCGTCGGGTCAAACCCGACCCGACCTGTTCTGACCCGAAAATTTAACGAGTCTTCGGGTTCGGGTCATTTCGGGTTCGGGTCGCAAAATCAATGTTCAAAACCCGCTAATTTCGGGTCTGGTTTTGGATTAATAACGGGTCGGGTCAAATTTTGCTAGGTCTGCCGTACATAGTGCATTGCCAACTCGCTCTCCGAAGTATGGCAAAGTAAGAAAGACTGGCATTTAACACGAAGTTCACTATCAACTCGTTGTCTGGAGTGAGACAAAGCAAATGAAACTACACCAATCAGCACAAAGTGCACTGCAAACTCGTTGTCTAGAGTGGAAAAATAAATGAAACTTCACACTATCATCACAAACTGCACTGCCAACTCACTATCCCGAGTGGCAAAGTAAAGGAAACTGCACCCATCAATACAAAGTGCACTGCCAACTCATTGTCCGGAGTAGCAAAGTAAGAAAAAACAATTTGCTTATTGTCTTTAAAGGATCTACTCTCTTACAGAGTACATTATTGACTTGTTGTCCAGGGTACGACGAATCATCATACACGGTCCGCTTGTCATCTTCACAGATCCGTCCACGGTCCCATCGATGCGTGATCCACTCCATGGGGGATGCCTCATTAAAAGTTCATGAGGATGGCAAAAAATTCTCGGTCAAGAAAAGAGTACATCACGTCCCACAAGGTGAATCAAAGAAAACACCATTAGGGTGTGAGGTCTTCGAGTAAAGGAAGCTGGGTGACTCTTAGAAGAGCTGAATTCCAAGCCCCCCAAACTAGTTGTCCATAGTCGAATGTTACTCGCCCATGACACAATAGCAAAGATGTTAGTCGGTTTAGTCATTGTGGCCACGCCTTAGAGGGGGGGTGAATAAGGCGTTTAAAATCTTTTCGGAGTTTGATAAAAATGGTGTTGGCAAATGCGGAAGCAATAACTAAAACGCAGAAATAAAAGCGTAAATAAAATGCACACCGATTTTATACTGGTTCGGGAAACCCCTACTCCAGTACCTCGAGGCTCCTCCTCAAGGATTTCCGAATCCACTAAGTCTCGGCCTCTTGAACTCCGTCAAAGCACCGCACTAGTTTTGGCAAACAACCCTTGCCAATAGGATTCACTCCGAGATTTCACAACGGCTATCTCGAACCGTTTACAATGAAGATTTAACGGCTATCTTCTATCGTTCCCCCAAGGATTTCAAAGGCTATCCTTCACTACAAGAATATAATGTAATTGCAACGGCACATTTCGTTGCATTTCTTCAATAATTCCGTTGCTAATGGTTATTGCAACAGCTTTTCCGTTGCAATTCAGCCGTTGCAAAAACCCTTGTTGCAAACGCAGAGATGCAACAGAAGTTCCGTTGCAGAGCATTGCATCGGACGGTTGCAACAGGAGCATTGCAACGAAAAGTCCGTTGCCACATTTTGCAACGGTATTTCCATTGCAGTATATTGCATCCAAAGTTTGCAACCATATTTCCGTTGCAAAAAAATTGCTACAGAAAAAGTGCAACAGCAACTCCATTGCTAATGTTTGCTACGGAAAAAAATTATTTGCAACAGAAATTGGTAACGTAGCGACTGCAACAGAATGCTCCGTTGCAAGATTCCAAAAATGCACAACGTAGTGCTTGTTCAATTTCATACCATGCACAATCTATATAAATGGGATACTCAAACACACATGTTTTCAACAAAGCCAAAATTTCAATACTATTCATTAATCAAAATAACCTCCAAGTACTTTTCAAACATCTGAATAATAATATCTGATCTATTGTTGTGAATAAAAACAATTGAAGCATTAACTAACATAA